GATTTTTCTACCATCTTTTTACTTAACTTTGGGTGTGGTGTATGCCAAGGCTACCGCACGGGGAGATTTTTGAGTTGGATCTGGATATTGAGCAAACTTTCAAACAAAAACGAAGAGTGCAAAGAACATTATTATCTACTCTAACCTCTTCCAATATGGCTGAAAATCAACTTCCACCAACTCCCCCACCACTGAATGATGCTGAAAAAATAATCAAATTGGCAAACTCAAAAGATGGAGGAATTATAGACTATGTCTTTCCTGTTTTTGATCAATTAAATTCAGGGATAACTAGACCACAAATGGAAGCCCTCCATTTTTAGTTAAAACCAGTGATGTTTAATATGTTGCAAACCAACGGTCAGTTCAGTGGTTTGCCATCTGAAGATCCTGTGAGTCCACAATCAATCAATCTTCATTAAATCTTTAAGAACAATGGCAGATCTAGATATATTCAAGTAAGAACATATTGGGAGTAGAGAGAGAGAAAGTCAAAGCTCTAATCTTGGTCAAACTTCACTATTACGAATCTGATATTACAATGAAAGCTCTTTAAAATTACAAGGAAATACCCTTTTTATAGGGTCAAACAATACACAAATGGTCAAAGTCAAACTATCTAAGAAAAGTCAAACATAATGACTTTTACACAATTATAGACAAAATAAACTTTCAAGACGAATACAAATTTACACTGATTTTCAGTCCTAACATTCTCCCCCTTTGTATTCAGACTTGAAAGAATTTGTGCGCTTTGAGTCTCATTTGAACTTTGAAGCTTTAAGCACATTATGTCTTCTTCAAAAACCAACTTCAACTCGAAATCTTTAGACAATCAATTGTTGAGAAAAAACTTCTAACATTCTCCTCCTCGAATGTAGAACAACGATAATCTTCTCTTTTGACAATGTAGATCAGAAACAATAACGATCTTCAATCTTCAGACAACAAATTTTGAACATTCTCTTCAATAATGAATTTCTTCAGATAAGATCACAAACATTCTTTTATAATGAGAAATCTCTATCAGTAAACTGTTGTAAGGATGATCTTCACATTCAATAACTCTCAGACATTGTAGCATAGGAATAGTTTTTTGTAATCATCTCTAGTCGTACTTCTTTTGAGTCTTTTGCCAAAATTTGAAGTTACTCCCCCTTAATCTTTACATCCGATTCTCCTTTATAGTGTTCGAAATTGGATATTTCATTCATTATTACATACTCCCCCTTATGATGAAATGAGAATCATTGCATCATACATAAGAATGAATGAAATTCTCCGCGTAAGCCGTCAATTCATGAAAATGTAAGTAGATCTTTTCAAATCCACTTATTTAATCTTTTCAGATTAAGGGAATGGGAAGGTAACAAACAAATTCAACAAATGAAATTTTTTTCAATCTTATAAAAGATTGGTCTGTGAGTATAACAGATATACTCAGTACAACGGATGTACTGTATATATGAGACTTTTTTATGCTCATCTCACCAGGTCTTCCATTCAATCTTTGATAGCTTAAGAAAAACATATTTATGAATGTTTTGGAAAATTAACATATAAAATGCTAAATCTGTGTAGTGTAGAAAGATAAAGTAACATATGCTTCTGTTTAGGCTCAAAAAGATAAACCGTGTGGACTACACAAATTTATCAGACTCAATTAATGATCAAAAAGACTTGAAGGGGGGACATATATCCTTCTGATTCAATATCAACTTTCTCCGAGTGAGAAATTGATAGATGAACTACATGCCCCAAGTGTTATTGAAACACTTATATGTTGAGAGATGAATGAGTAGCTGGTGGGGTTGTGACAAGAATTGGCCTAGGCTTTGCCTTTTTCAATATTAGTCTCCAAAGAATCGAGAACTAATAGATTATGTGGTATGCCCGAATTTTAGAAGTTTGGAACAGGATTTTCGTATTCTTTTAGTCCTGACACAACTCTCGTCAATTCTTTTAGCTCACAACAACTACCCATCTCTTTTTTATTTTTGTCTCAGCACACAAACCCTTTTGTATTTAAAGCTCACTCAGATATGGTTGTCCTCATAGGTAGGTTTGTCGGTTCTGACATTCCATTGAGGTATTTCTGATAATCACTCAGTCCCTCCTAAAATTTAGCATTAAGTACAGTTGATCACAAACAGTTGATCAAAAATATTATTGCAAATAAGCACAATGATCAAATAAAAATTGATCAGGATATTTGGCTTTAAGCACAATCAATAAGGAATGATGCAACAACAATTAAAATTATTCAATATATAAGAGAAATGAATGAAGATTTGTAAGAACAAGTTTACAGATTCTGATTATTCAAAGAATTGTTTAATGTGTATCAATCAAAGTAAAAAATCAGTAAAACAAACTTTGATTACTAACGAGTGTATTATCACCGAAAAATGATATGATTTTAAGAGACGTGATAATAACAGTTTGAAGAATAGCTGAAACAGGTATTGGAGTTATGTATGATGAGAAATTACACAAGTAAAATCTCAGAAAATGTACTCGTTTCCAAAAAAATATTTCACTTTTCCGAAAACATTTATTAAAAAAAATCTAGAGACTCCCCCTAGAAAATAGATTTGAGTAACGAATCATTTAAGCTCAAAATAAACAAAAATGGAAACATTTTTAGCACGGGTCCTAAACTGGGTGTTTAGAAATCACACTCGGTAACGCACAAGTTCTGAACTGAAGTATTCAGAAGCCTTTTTGGAATAGATTACAACTCCCCCTGCATTGGTGTATCATTGATATGATATTCTGATCAGCACAAAATTGACACACCTGCAAAACCAGATTAAATAGATTTTGGTACCCAAATGAATTTGGGTCCTATTTTGTTAGTATCGGGTTGGGGTACATTGTAACTTCCAAACCATCTATTCTTATTAGATATATTCTTTTTAACACTTTGAACAGGATGATCAGAAATAGAATATGATCCATACCAGTTATTATGATCATACATGTTCTTACCTTTCCAACTGTTCTGATAGATGTTATCTCCATGCCACCTGTTGAACCTTTTCTTATTGACAAAATCATTGGTTTTGCATGTTGAGCACATAATTCTTCTCTTGCTAAGATTGATCAGATCATTAGTGGATCTCACAATGCAAGGAAGAACAGAGTTAGTAACAACAGGTGTATGAAATGAAACAGAATCAGCTTTATTAACCCAAATGCTTTAGTCTTAGAAGATTTATTGGGTGATCTGATAACATACCCTTGATAATACTGATTAGAAGAACGAGAATAGTTCTTAGAAACTGTAGATTTAGGGCTGCTTGAATAACTATTCGATTTGGAATAGTCATAGAAGCTAGTTTTACACTGTGATGGAGAGCCAATTGAGCTTTGTGCATAAGAAAAGTCTTTGACTTTCTGTAAAAGTTGGTCTCTTTCGTTAGTAACTAAATCATACTTCCTTTTAAGTTCAGTTCTCATCTTCAATTCAGTTTCAAGTTCTGTCTCTAGATCAGACAATTTCTTTGCAGTATCCAAAAACTTACCTTCTAATTCCTTCTTTAACTTTTCAAATACTTTCCATTCTTTCTCAAATTTCTTTCTCTCTTCGTCTGAACTTCCCTTCTCATTTTCTGAAGCAATGTCAAGCCATTTCTTTTTCTTTGTAAGCTCTTTGGCAATTGCAACATTTTTCTTGGCAGTGTTTTTCTTTTCGAGAACAAACACTCTCTTCTCTTCATCTAATGCTTTCTTCTTCTGAACAATGTTGTCAAACAATTCCAAATTCTTTCTTTGACATTCTTCTTCATACTCTTTCTTCACTTTATCAAACTTGGATCGTTCCAAAATGATAACTTGTTCAAAATCTAATATTTGTTTTGAAAGCAAAGTGACATTCAGCTCTAATGTTTTTATCTTGCTTCCAAACACTTTCCTTTCAGCATCAAACCTCTTTTCAGTTTCAAAAACCTTCTCTTTCTCGAAATCCAGTACTTCCTTACATCAAACAATTCACTTTCAGATTTATGCACTTTAGCTATTAAGTCATCAATCTGTTTGTTTAACCTAACTGTCTCTTCTGGATTAGAACAAGTTTTCATCAGATCGCTCAGCTTTTCTTGCAAAACTCTCTTTTCTTGCAAAACTCTCTTTTCTTCCTTCTCTCTCTTATTACAGTCAGTTAGACGAATTGTCCTCGAAATGTTCTTATTACAGAATTTACTTTATCGAATTCTTCTTTAAGCTCTCCGTATTCTCTCTTGTAAAAAGCTGTCATTTTAGAAATAGATTGATCAAAGGATCTAATGCAATGAAATCAGATAAAAGAAATCAAATACAGTTAAGCTCAAACACACAAACAGAAAAACACAAAAACTGATGAGAAATTAGAAAATCGACGAAAAACTATCAAAAATCAGTAAAAACAGTCAAAACTGTTGAAAACAGTTAAAAACTGTTAAAAACAGTTAAATCAGTTAAAACTGATGAAAAACAGTTTACGCGACGGAAAACAGTTTAAAGATTCTCAAACAGTTTAAAAAAAATAAAAACAAAACAGTTAAAAACAGATAAAAAGACCAAAAAATTAAAATCTAAAGAAAATAAAAAAAATTCAGCTTCTTTTAACACCTGCTGTCAACATACTATGGCCGTTATAAGTCTTCAGTTAACAAGGTTCAGATAATAAAGATTACAGAAGAAGGTTTGCTGCTTTGAAGGCTATCTGGGATTTTGCTGTTTTCGAGAATCCAACAATTAACCGAATGTCAAACAGCAAAGTTCCTAGTCAAACATCAAATAAGGCTGAAGCACTGCAGACTTAACAAAACTCTTAACAAAAACAACAGATGCTTAGACAGCAATCTCTACAACAAACACAGCAAACCAAAATATGCAATTCAATTAGGTCTACAACAACCAGCTTTAAATCTATAAACAAACTACTGATTCACCATTTGCTGCTTCTATTTTAAGTACCATGACCCTTCCCTCAAAAATAACACAACATATGGTGCTCTGAAGCAATACTGCTCTATAAATGGCTGGGGTGGAACACTGTTCTTGGCCACATCCCATGATTTTTCACAAAACTGCCGACCCTTCTCAAGTTGGAAGTTATTTTCACAGCTTCCAACAAGGCAACCCCAATAGTCCAAGTAATACCTCCAAAACCAATATTAACTTGACTGTCTTCTATATGCAACTAGTTGTGTATAACTAATTGTTGTCCCAATACTAGTTGCTGCCATGGCTTTTGTGCATGTTGTGCTAGCTGCCAGTTGATGCAGCACTCGTAAGCAGCTGAGACGCACACGCTCTTGAGGAGTTTGTGATACAGCACTCTTAAACAGTTACTGTATCAAGTGATTTGAGCAAAACCTCACATCCTTATCAAACGATTTAAGTCAAACCAGTCACAATACAGACAACAAATCGATTCTAATACCAGTTACTGCTCTAACTCAATCAACTCCAGCTTCCTAACTCGATTGAACAGCAAGCTGCACTTTATGTAAAATCAAAAGAAAATGTGTGCAAAATACAACCAATTCAGATATGATGAAATCTTCAACAGCTAGGTCAGTGAATGATTTAGAATAGCCTGTCCTTTTTGACTGAGTTCRAGGGAAAYTATGTATCTTAATAACCTTGTGAACAGAGATGATCAAAACCAGTATTCATCCACTTCATGATTGAATGATATGCGATTAACCTCAAACCAGTCAGCAATTTTGTTGAACCCTTGATTGCGCTTGAGCTGTGATCGATTTCCTGTTATGAACCAAAATCAGCAAAATCCAACAAATGTATCAAGATCAACAGCAATACAAATCAAAAATCGAATACAGAGGTAACATGTGATTTAGGTCAAGAACAGTTGTGAAGAAGATGAACATTCAAGCGATTTAAATGAAATCGATGTGTCTGCGATGAAGGTAAAACCAAACAAGAACCCTAAATTGAACAATACAACCTGTGATTTAGGTTTTGATTGAGTAAACTGTATAAAGGCTGTCTTGCTAGCTAAATCGCCTACCACAGAAAGATTAATCGCTCAAGAGGTTTCTTAATCCGGTCAAAATGGCTCAAATCACAACCTATATCCGCTCAAAGTCTACTCACTACAAGATGTAATCCGCTCACTAAATCGATCAAAGAGAATCTTAATCCGCTCACTAATCCGCTTATTGCAAACACAATCAGGTGAGCGATTTACCTGTGATGCCCGATTTAACTCCTAAATCGCTCAAATGTTATGCGAATCCGGTCAATTCTGCTTAAGAGATGTACAAATTCGGACAAAATCCGCTCAAGTGATATACGAATTCGGTCAAGTGGTGTGCCTTAACCTGTGAGATTGAACGATTTACTTACCTGAAAACCAGCGATTTATACCCTGTAAACCCTAGTCTGCTTGATGATATACCTTTGATCAATTGAGTGCAAATCGGCTGATTCTAGCTATGTTGTGAGAGGAACGATGAAGATGACTATGGCGATGAAGATGATAACAGATAGATGAATGAAGTCTGATGGGTTGTGAAGAAACAATCCGGTCAAAGTCTTTGTACAAAGTCAGGATGGGCCTTTGTACAAAATAGCCCAAAAACTAAGTCTCAAATTGAACGATTTAAAGGGAAAAATTCTAAGACTTCAATCCGATTGATATAAATCGTACAAAACCCAAAAACACAAAAAATTTATTCAAATTTGGATCAAAATCTAGATTTTCTCAAGATTTTCAAGATCACAAAAAAATCAAAAACACGCAAAAATTTGACCAAATCTTGAAAATTAAAGATCAAAACACATAAACTTGTAAAAAACAAAGATTCACAATGCAAAAACGTACAAAACGATCAATGTTTTAACACAAAAACATAAGATTTTGAAAAAAAATTGGATCAAACTTAAAGAAAAAATGAAGAACATAAAAAAATGAAGAACACATAAAATTCCAGAAAATTTTCCTTCAAAAATCTTCAAATTTCCAATTTCTTCTATTGATTTCAATGCACTTCCTGCTCTGATACCAAATGTGAGTCCACAATCAATCAATCTTCATTAAATTTTCAAAAACAATGGCAGATCTGGATATATTCAAGTAAGAACATATAAGAAGTAGTGAGAGAGAAAGTCAAAGCTCTAATCTTGGTCAAACTTCACTATCATGAATATGATATTACAATGAAAGCTCTCTAAAATTACAAAGGAAATACCCTTTTTACAGGGTCAAACAATACACAAATGGTCAAAGTCAAATTATCTAAGAAAAGTCAAACACAATGACTTTTACACAATTATAGACAAAATAAACTTTCAAGACGAATACAACTTTACACTGATTTTCAGTCCTAACAGATCTGCACTCACACTTAAAATCATTCATGGAAATAACTGACACTTTCCTTATCCCGGGACTATCTAACGATGCTCTGAGACTCACATTGTTTCCTTTTTCTTTAAGGGATAGAGCAAAGTCTTGGTTCAATTCCTTACAACCAGGATCTGTGGATTCTTGGAATAGCATGGCAGAAAAGTTTTAAAAAAATATTTTCCTCCCACTCAGAACGCTAAGTCCATAAACGAAATTTGTCTTTTTAAACAAATGGACGATGAGGCAGTTCCCGATGCTTGGGAAAGGTACAAGGAGCTATTGAGAAAATGGTTTCACCATGGCATTCCATACTGTATACAGCTCGAGACATTTTACAATAGGTTGAATCTCACTGCAAAACAAATGCTCGATGCTACATCAGGAGGAGCTTTCATAGCTAGTACCTATAGTGATGGATATGGTATCCTTTGAAAAGATTTCTAATAATAATGGACATTGGGCAGATCCACATGCACTATTACCACGCAAAACAGCGGGAGTTCATGACATAGATGCTTTTACAGCATTGACGGCTCAGATGACTGCAATGACTAATTTGATTAAAAATTTAACAAATGGTTAAGCAGCACAATCCATAGCCACAACACATGCTCCAACTGTTGAGTCGGTACAATGTGTGTATTGTGGTGGAGGACATCCCTTTGAACATTGTCCATCTAACTCGGAATCAGTCAACTATGTGGGGAATCAAAATAAATCAGGACCATTTTCTCAAACATACAATCCTGGGTGGAGACAACACCCAAATTTTTCATGGCACATTCCTGCTTTAAATCCACCAATGAACAAACCCCAAGGGACTTCACAATTCCAACCACATCAACCTCAACAACATCATCAGGGTCAAGCTCCAAACCATCACCAAAATAATTTTCATCAACAAGCAAATCATTCTAACCAACAAGCCGAATCTTCTACTTCTTTGGAAACAACTCTAAAAGGATTCATAAACCAAACCAACACAACCATGAACCATCAGAACACTGCCATAAGATCTCTAGAAACACATATTAGTCAACTTGCACTTGAGGTAAGAATTAGACCTGTAGGTACCCTTCCTAGTGATACAGAGATTCCAAAGCCAATGATGAGAGAGCATGTAAAAGTAGTGACTTTAAGGAATGGAAAGAACCTCATAGAGAGTGAACCTATAAAAAAGTCTGTTGAACCCCAGAACCCAATTGAGATGGATGTCACAACATCTAGTTTAGATATTGTCACAACCACCTTGAAAGATAAGGGAAAATCAATAGAAATAGGACCACTTCCTAAGAAAGCAGACTTCCCCTTGTTATTTCCAAATGAAGGCAAAAAGAATGTATCATTTCAAAATGATATTGGAACATCTTCTTCTGAAAGTAACAAGAATGTTGAGTCACCAGTTCCTCATAACGAACCTATCATCATCCAGGCACCCCCTAGTCAGTCCTCTAAGAAACCAGTTATAGCCCCTGTTCCTCCTTATATACCTTTTCCACAAAGGTTGAGGAATCAGAAAGAGGAGTTGCAATTCAAAAAGTTCCTTGACGTGTTCAAACAACTACATATCAACATCCCATTGGTTGAAGCTATTGAACAAATGCCAAGTTATGCAAAATTTCTCAAGTACATTTTGAGCAAGAAGAAGAAATTGAACGAATTTGAGACTGTGGCCCTAACAGAACGTTGTAGCGCCCTCCTTTCAAATAAAATTCCCCCTAAACTCAAAGATCCCGGGAGTTTCACAATTCCCTGTTCAATAGGTGAGAAAAAAATTGGAAAGGCTTTATATGATTTAGGTGCCAGCATTAACCTCATGCCCTTGTCAGTATACCTTAGGCATAGGTGAGGCTAGACCAACCACAGTTACCCTTGAGTTAGCAGACAAATCCATAGCTTACCCAAAAGGAAAAATTGAAGATGTATTAGTCCAAGTGGATAAATTCATTTTTCCTGCTGACTTCATCATTCTTGATTTTGAGGCTGATAAAGAGATTCCAATCATCCTAGGAAGACCATTCTTAGCAACCGGTAGGACTTTGATTGATGTTCAGAAAGGAGAATTGAMTATGAGAGTGAATGATCAGGATGTCACTTTTAATGTTTTCAAATCCATGAAATACCCTGATGAAAAAGATGAGTGTTCTAACTTGAGTGTCATTAAGTTCTTGTGCCATAAAGAAGGAGTTAAATCTATGTTAGATTTAAGCAAAACTGAAGTTGTTGAGGAGATAAAACATGGAGAGGAAAGTGAGATCACCCTATTGCAAGACACCTTTGCTTTTAAGCTATTGGAAAGTGAGAGTGGAAAAACCCATGCCACATCTATTGAGTCACCACCAGGGTTCTTACACCCTTCCCAATCATCCATCCCTCCCACTTCACAACCAGCCACGTCCACCTCACCAAATCTAGCCAATTTACCTCCATGGTTGCTCAGATCAATCATATCTTGTCCCACACCCCTTAGAACCATTAGACCTATCCAACATTCAGTATCCTTAACCCAAACAGCCCCTCTACCTACTGCCTTAACCCAACTAACCACCACATCCATTGTTCTTCCTACCCAAACAATCCCTACACCTACTGTTTCAACTCAACCAGCCTCTCTACCTGTTGTATTAAACCAAACAGCCCTTTTACCCACTATTCCTACCCAAACAGTCCCTTTACCTACTGTTTTGACCCAACAAGCCACTAGCCATACTGATATACCTACCCAAACAGCCCCTCCCACTACTACAGCACCACCCCTTCTATTCCCACTAAACCAAAACCAAAAGCCCATCATCCAGCCACTAGATCAACGGAGCGTCATGTCACTAAGCGTATGACTAAAGAGGAAGAAGATGCCATTGATGTAGAGACATATGTTCCCAAAGGTCTACCTAAACCAAAACCAAGGAAGGCAAGGGCCAAAAAGTTAAAGATCAAGGATGAAATCAAAGATGATGCCCAATACTCCGGAATGCCACCTACATTAGAGCCAATCTCTCAAGGTATTGGGAAGACAGAGAGCACAAAGTTAGATACTTGCCACAACAATCCTATTGTAAGTCTTTCTAACTCTCATTTATCTGAGAGCACACACACTATTGATGCTCAAAGTGATCACACAATCAAAAGTGATCCTATTCATATGGAGCATCATGATGGTCAAGAAATGCTTGGTGAGGATTTTATGTTTAACATTGATCTCAATGCCTATTTTATGGAAGAAGATGACCCAATTCACTTACTTGAGTGGCCGGATTCCACCACTTCTTCAGATGTTATCACTCTTATGGACACACACACACATACATCACACTACCAGTTCAATGATTCTCCCATGGTTGATTTGGGGATGGTTGACTTGACTTCGCATCACTACACTCCTCCACCCATCTCCATTGCATTTGATAGGTTTAACAACCCATTTTATGCACTACCCTCTTTCCCAATCTACATCCCTACTTCCCACATGATCTTTGATGCATATAATGCCATTATGCCCATGCCACCCATCACTAGAACATACACCGCACCACTTGTGAGCACTACCTATGATGTCATTCCTGACTTCATAGCCCACTTCCATCCCTTCTCCTGAGATGTCTGGGCAAAAGTCCAATGAGGATAGCAACCGCACCTCTAGTGACTCTGACTTAGTCCCTATTGAGAGGTTCTCCAAAAGGAGACGAGCTGAGTCTGAAGACTCTGAGTGGACTCCTGATAAGGATATCCCATTGTCCCAACTTAGGAGATCCAAAAGACATCAGGTAGCACCAATCCCGCCCAAAAAGCATACCCGCACTCGACAAGTGGACAGCCATAGTGAGAGCAACCGGAGGCCTAGGAATTTTCAGAAGTTCAAGACTTTTTTGGGATTAGGAGAGAGAGAGTTTAATAAGAGTTGTCTTGAGACCTATTCCTTTATCCATGACATTGTTATCCAAAGGGGATGGGAGACTTTCACTGCTGTGAGAGAGCCTTACTTCCTCAAATGGCTCCAAGAGTTCTATGCCTTAGTTTCCTCTACCTGCACTACCTCAGTTCATATTAGAGGTAAAAAGATCTCTTACTCTTCGCATGCTATCAATAATTTCTATGATTTGAGTGCACCTCTAGTTTGT